TTATTATTCTCTAATGATGAAGAGAAACACACCGTTCCTCAACTGAATGCCAAATTTATATTTATGTTGAGAAGAAAGAAATTTCTTTTTAGGGAAAGAAATCATCTTCCACATACATAACATTTTCATTTTTTTAAAAAAATGTTTAGCCCTGAAACCATAAGCAGACCAAAACCTGGACTGTTATTTTTGAAGGTACTAGACAGGAAAATTTCCCGATGGAATATAAACTTGATTTTTTTTTACAGCCACCTTTAGTTCTTACTCCTTTGTGACCTCTGACATTTATAATGTCAGTTCACAATTCTTTTTCTACTGACACCTTTAGCATTGTAGTAAAAGAAGAAGCGCAACAGAAACTGAAAAGGTTAGTAGTTCAGATAAAATAGACATTATTTTTTCCCCAAAGGGAATTTCATTGTAGCCCTCAGAATACTATAGAATAGAAGCACTTTCTTCTTCTTTTAAAGTGAAGTGTATAAAGATGGCTTTGGGTCGCAAGCAACAATAAAATCATCAAGAACTGAGGAGAAATTTCCTGACAGTTAGAACAATTAACCAGTGGAACAACTTGCCTCCAGAAGCTGTAAACACTGGAAGTTTTTAAGAAGATGTTGGATAACCATTTGTCTGAAGTGGTGTAGAGTTTCCTGCCTAAGTAGGGGGTTGGACTAGAAGACCTCTAAGGTGCCTTCCAACTCTGCTATTCTATTCTATTCTATTCTATTCTATTCTATTCTATTCTATTCTATTCTATTCTAGGGAGAGAACCAACTTAGAACTAAGGAGAAATTTCCTGACAGTTAGAACAATTAACCAGGGGAACAACTTGCCTCCAGAAGCTGTAAACACTGGAAGTTTTTAAGAAGATGTTGGATAACCATTTGTCTGAAGTGGTGTAGAGTTTCCTGCCTAAGTAGGGGGTTGGACTAGAAGACCTCTAAGGTGCCTTCCAACTCTGCTATTCTATTCTATTCTATTCTATTCTATTCTATTCTAT